CACCACCGCACTGCTCATCTTTTTCTGCAACACACACACACACACACACACACACACACACACACACACACACACACACACACACACACACACACAGACACACACACACAGAGACAGCTGTTACAGTGTGTGTAGATTGATGAGTCTAACTGAAGCCATCCCCAGAATCAACAATACAGAATATCTGAAATTAAATAAAAAATATTAAATCTAATTATGAAGATCAAAGGAATTAATAGTCTAGAAATACCAGTCTAAAAAAAAAAAATAAGTAAATAAATAAATAAAAGCTTTTAACAAAAATATAAAATATGTACTCTTTGGATTGACATGAAATATTTAATTAATCAATTAATTGTGCTATTAAATAATATAAAAAGTAATAAGATTTTTTTTGTGATTCTGTTCACTGCAATAAATAATTTTTTAATACTGTACTTCACATATAAATATAATGAATTAATTAAAAATGCAAAGATGGATAGATAGACTAGATAGATGGATAGAGAGATGGATGGATAGAGAGATGGATGGATGAATAGAATTAATAACAATTTTAACCCACATCACTCCAAAAAACATTCAACAATTCGGATTAAAAATAAAATAAATTCAGATATTTGTACAAATGTTTTTATCACTTGCCCTGTTTAAACCAGACCTGTTAAGAGGATGCGTGTGTGTGTGTGTGTGTGTGTGTGTGTGTGTGTGTGTGTGTGTGTGTGTGTAAACCTTGATGAAGGCCTGAAAGCGTTTGTCCCGTGTGTGTAGCTCTTTGTAGACGTTCACAGCCTCGTTGTGGCGGCTGCAGAATTTCCCGTAAACTTTCTTTATCTTGTCAGCATTGGAGCCCGTCACCTACACACACACACACGCGCACACGCGCAACACAAAACACAATCAGTTTTCTCTTAACAAGTCTCAATTTTATAAAAGGAGCAAAAAACAGTGTGTGTGTTTGAGCTTTATTAAATCACTGGGGTTTCATTAAAGGCTTTTCCTCTCAACAAAACTCTGATAAAGTGTCAAACATCAAACTAAACAAAGAGGGAGAGAGAGAGAGAGACGTGCGTGCACACACACACACACACACACACACGCACGCACACGCACGCACACGCACGCACACGCACGCACACGCGCACGCACACGCGCACGCTCACACACGCGCACGCACACACACGCACGCACACACACGCACACACGCGCGCACACACGCGCGCACACACGCACACACGCACGCGCAGAGATGTAACTTTTTCTGAAACTAATATGCAATAGAACAATCTCGCTCTATTTAAAATTATTACAACAAAATTCTTTTTTTTTTTTTTTAAAGATAATATTTATTACTATTCACAAATGAGAGAAAATGTATTTATTTTCTCTGAAATCCCCTGAAAGTAATATTTATATTATTGTCAGAATTAAATATTCAGTAGAAACTAAAATACTTTAATAATAATAATAATAATAATAATAATAATAATAATAACAACAATGTTTCCAAAACTCGTGAAGGCGGTGAAGGCGTGTGACGTGGAAGGCGCGCGACGTGGAAGGCGCGTGACGTGGAAGGCGCGTGACGTGGAAGGCGCGTGACGTGGAAGGCGCTCACCTGATCGAGCAGCACGTCTCCGATCCTGCGGATGACGAACCCTCCGTCGCTCGCCCGCTGCTCCTCTCGCGCCTCCCTCCGTCTCTCCAGCAGGTGTGTGAAGAAGTGTGTGTGCAGCTCCAGCAGCTCCTCCAGCACAGGAAACATCTTCTCCAACGTCTGCACCTCCACCTGCACCTCCTTCTGCAGACCCTTACTGTACACGTCAGCCATGATGCGCAGAGTCCGCACGTGGTGCATCTCCGTCTGGA